TAGGTGCTATGTTTAATTCTTTCCTTTTACTCCCTACATTCAATTGTTCAGCAAATCCTGCTGAGTCCAATTCCAAAATATGTCTACCTTTATTGACACCATTGTACTTCAAGCCTTCATTTCTTGCTTGGACTTCTGAAATCACCTCTTAATTGGTTTTCCCACTTCCAGACTTGCTTGCTTCCACTCCATTCTCTATATAGCAACCAGAATGATCTTTAAAAAATGAAAGTCATATTGCTTTTCTGCTTAAACACCTTCAATACTTCCCACTGTATTTAGGATAAAATCAAACTTCTATCTCTGGCCTATGTGGCCACATAAGATCTGGCTCTTAGGATCTGGAGCTGTCGCTCAGGGCTAGAGCATGTGCCTAGCTTGGGCAAAGTCCTGAATTGAATCCCCAGTGCCATAAACAAATGAAACAGATCTAGTTCTCTAATTCAACCTCATCTCACAGTACTTTCCCACTTGCTCACTGCACTCTGGCTACACTTCCCAAACCTTTTCCCACAATCAGATTTTTATACCTGTTCTTCCCTCTGCCAAAAATTTCTTCTTATTTCTTTCTATGGTTGGCTCATTGTTTTCCTTTGGGTTTTATCTCAAATGTTTCCCGCGGAGTGGGCTTCATTGACTCCTTGATTTAAACCGGTTCCCTCTTTACCTCATAATCCTTTAATAAAGCACTGTTTATTACCCTCATAGTGTAACCAAAAGCTCTGTCCTTGTCCCTGATGCCAATTCAATAAGGAGGTCACAGGAAAAAACTTTTTTTGCTATACTAGCAAAGGAGAAACACTGGGAACTCCTGTCCCAGAGGCTGTGATTCTGCCCATCCGGGAAAATGGAGGACTTTTAAAGGAGCTATTCAAAAGCCACATTCCAGGTGTGCTCTGCAAGGGGGGTCCTAGGGCGGCACCCTCCTGGTGTGTTAGTAACAATTACTTGTTAATTTGGGAGATAAACACTTCCTAGATTCTCTGCCTGACAACTCCTCCCTATGGAGCACAGATAATTCAAGGTAATCTTATTCCCTGCCCTCAGGTTAGGAGGGGGAGAGGGAGAAAAGGAAAAGGAAAACATGTCCTTTTTAAAAATACACCTCAGAACTATATTCAAAAGAACAAATGGACCACTATTACAATAGCATAGCATTACAATGTATAATTAGCTTACATGTTTATTGACTGCACCCCATGAGTTTGTAAAGCTCATGGGGGCAAGAACCTTATGTGTCTTTCATACCATTGTGTCCATACTACCTAGCAGTTCTGCGTGCATGAAATGTCTTCTCACTCTATCCCAAACACTCCTTCCTTGCTATGACATTGCTTACACCCAGCCTTCAAGCTGCAATGGCTTTCTATTCTTGACCAATTAGTATTTCAGGGCTTAGTTCAAGACTCAATACCTCCAACAGCCCTCGTTCTTTATTAGCCCATCCCCCTGTAATGATCCCTTTAATAATTTATTCAGTTAGTATATATTGAGCTCCTTGGCAGTCTTGCCAACAGTTGAAACTACATCATCAAGCCTTTTCTTGTATTTGCTTTATAATCATGGTCATGTTGTTACTGCTGTTGACCGGTGACGAGTCCTTGCTTCCCCAATGTTGAAGAATAACACCAAAGAAGCACGCCGAGGCAAGGTCAGAGTAGAGATTAGAAGTTTATTAAAGGACAGCAGAAAAGACTTGTCCTGGAGGAAGAAGGGGACCAAGAGGTGGAATCCATGGAAGAGCGGTTGTCTCCCCTTTTTATAGTTCTGGTGATGGAATGTAGGTGGGAAGGCCCGAGGGGTGGGACACAGGTGGGCCAAAGAAGTAATCTGGTCAGGAAGGACTTCATTATCACTTCTTTGGGATGGACTTTGGCCTAGGGCCTTTTCAGGACTTCATTAACATTCCATGAGTTGTCCTGCATTTCCTGGAATCATTCTCAGCATGGCCTCCATTTTAGATTTCACTCGGTATTAGACCGGATTTACCTAACTACACTGACTACCTAACTTTAAATCTGGCTTCAATGTCATTCATGTATGTATGTTTTATTTCCGAAGACTGTAAGTTACTCCTGGGTCAATATTTCATCACACCTCTTTATAATCCTCATGAAGTACTTAATCTTGTGTGGTGCACACTGGAAATGATAAAATAGAGCAGGAAGACAGAACACTTCCTCATACCTTTGAGAGCTACATCCCCAGTCCTTTTTTTATTTTTTGACAGGGTCTTGCTAAGTTGCTGAGGCTAGCCTTGAACTTGTGATCCTCCTGACTCAGTCTCCTGAATTACTGGGAATGCAAGCATACAGTCACCAAAGAGTTGTTAGGGGGTAGGGCTGGGGTTGTACCTCAGAGGTGGAGTGCTTGTCTAGCATGTGCCTTGCCTAGCATGTGTGAGGCACTGGGTTTGATCCTCAGCATCACATAAAAATAAATAAATAAATAAATAGAAAGGTATTGTGTCCATCTACAACTCAAAAAAAAAATTAAGAAAACAGCTGTTTGGAAATGAGAAAAATGAGGCACATTCTTTTTCCTCATTTTAATTTATTGAAAAAAATCAAAACTGCAGTTTAGGAAACATTTCTGTGATAAGTAGCAAGAGTTTAGCTATTTTATAGTTGTAGAAGAATATATAGCAGGGCCTGGGGCTCTAGCTCAGTAGTAAGAGTGCTTGCCAAATTTGATCCTCAGCACCACATAAAAATAAATAAAATAAAGGAAAGGCATGCTGTTCATCTACAACTGCAAAAACAAAGGCATCTATAGTGTAATGACAGATTTGTGGGACCCCAATAGACCTCCAGGAGCCGAATCTGATACAATCACACAAGAGACTTTATTGCAAGCTCAAGCCTGGACTCACAACCATTTCTGATGCAGCGGTCCCAGGGAGTGAGTCCTGGTCCTTTGTTCAGTGAGATTTTATAGGTTTTGGGGGGATACTGTATGCATCACAACATCACACAGCAGATCATTCCATACCTCCGGAAAGTCAAACAACAATCTTAACATTGATTAGCACATTCACTGGTGGGAACAAGTTGGGTAGGGGTGATTGGTTAGTACAAGAGGGGGATTGTTTGAACTGATTGGTTTAAGCCATGAGGGGTGTACGTGCTAAACTACATGGTTTCCCAACATGTTATCAACCACCATAAACTACTGGGGATCATCTGGCATCCCAGATATTTTCCATCTCATGCTGATTGGTGGTTGCTAGGGGGTTGCTATGGGTCCTCACCTAGCCTAACTGAGTCAGGGACACCTGGTGCTGCAGATCTCTCCTGTTATTTGCAGACAAACAACTTAGCAGGGTGAGTATGTGCTTAGGAGTGCTCTGTGGGTTTTTCCCAGGACAAGGGTCATGCCCCCTTCCTTAGGATAGGCCTTGAAGTAGAAGCTGGTTTCTCAAAAATGGAGTCACATCAGTTTCTCAATAGCAGACATACTATCAAGTATATAACCTGAGGTTAGGATTTTAGATTTTGTACAAAACTGTTTTTGAGGCTTTTAGAGCTTTTTGAAAGGTTGTCTGCTTCAAGGGAAAGAAAGAATGACAAATATGAACTAGGAATTTGCCACCCTCCAAACTCTTTAACAGATTGGGCTACAGATAAAATTTGCATGTGTGTTAACCACCATTCCTTGTAAAAGTGTTAAGGTCTAATCTATACTGTAGTGTGTGCTCTCAGAAGTTAGCAAAGGTTATGAATTCAGGAACGACTGGTATGGGTTCAGGTGAAATGAATAAAACTAGGCCAGCAGTTTGTGTGCTCTAGCAGTTGGAAAATGAGTTATTTTCATATATCTATATAGGACAACATTCTAAGAGTTTAATAATTATTTTCATGTATCTATATAGGACAACATTCTAAGAGTTTAATATTTTAATATAAGTTCAAGGCCAGCCTCAGCAACTTAGCAAAATATTATTTAAGTGTTTAACTATAGTTTTGAAACTCTGATTAGTAACAAATGACCAATACAACATTTTTTTCCTTTGGAAAATAAATTTAATAGCAAAAATACTTTTAACATACTGAAAAACCTTAGTGTGTATCTGAGAGAATGTGTGCATGAATTAACAACTTAATGTTAGATATTAATGTATTTTAAATGGATAGGCACTATTTGAAAAGGTATAGTTATATGAATTTTACAATGTGGAACAATCATGCAATTTGACTTTTAAAAATTCAGTACAGATTATTAGCCTAAAGTGCTTTTATTCTGTTACTTTTTTAGGGGGATATGTGTCAAATGTTCCTTTTGATTCTTCCTAGGCAACTAGGACATCTTGGGAGAATAACATGATTAAAAAATTTATTTTCAGGGTAGGCTTGCAAAGCAAGTGAAAAAGGCAGAGAATTCAGGCCATTTGAACTGTATGTGATTTTAGTCAGAAGATCTGTGGGGCATAATTTTGCAGTCATGGTAAAAACTGCCTTCCTGAAGCACAGATTCTAAGCCTAGGGATGCTTCATATTTCAATAGAGGTTGGTTCTACTATGCTGTGGTTAACTTTTAAAAGTTAAATGTTTTCATTTGGTTTCTGTTAAGGTCTAATCTATATTATAGTGTGTGCTCTCAGAAGTTACCAAAAGTCATGAATTCAAGAACAACTAGTATGGGTTCAGGTGAAATGACCGAAACTAGACCAGCAGTTTGTGTGAGCTTTTTGCATCAACTGTGAGTAACCCTGTGGCTGAGTTTGTGACATAGATTCTACTTGATCATTTCATCTACTCCTTACTTGAGCTGTCGTGGCAATGCCCTTTCGTGTTGTGTTTCTATTCAGAAGGTAAATTGCACATTTTGTCACTGCTATGTGTTGGTTATAAAATCTGGTAGGAGGCTGTCAAGACATAGTAGTGTTGAGAAACTTCATGGCACAGGTGTTCACAGGGACTCTAAGGACGTATGTGGCCAAATTGTGTAATTTCCAAAAATGACAACCAGAAATACCCTCTTATTACTCTTCAAGTGGACAATTATGAGACTACATTTATCTCCAATTTCAACATGTGTTCAGCTAGTGCGCTTCTAGTTCCATTCAGTTCTACAGTGTTGGTTTTTTAGACTCTAGTTTTCCAGTTTTGAAGAACTTCCTTAATTCCCTTAATTCTTGGGGCTTCAAACTCTGGTCCACTCCTGGGGTCAATTTATAGCTCAAAGGAGACACGATGTAACCATTTTGATAAAGACAGATTCTCTTGCAGAACTCAAAAGTGCTAAACATAACTCCAAAATATGGAACTACCTGTTAAAACAGAAAATGAAAATTGTGTTAAACTCTTCAAATATCAATGTATCTACATCAAGATAAATCAGGACAAATTGACAATAGCTGTGGGCAATACAACATGGTAATTGTTTTTGAAATTGGGGAGAGGGCAGAAAGAAGGCTGGCACAGTATGGATGGGGGGAGAGGGATGACAGCAATTGAAGGGCATGCTCTGAGCAAGCAGTGGGCCTGGATTAATACGCATGTAGACACCTGACACTACCTGTCAATATATATGCTGGCCTTGATTGGAATCATTTATATATCAGCTAGTGCAAAGTTAATTCAGAGTTCTTAACCTTAACTTCTGGATCATGGAGTTCTTTGGGAATATGATACACACATGTGCACGTGTGTGCGCGCACACACACACACACACACACACATACAAAACACAGTTTTGCAGACAATTTTAGGATGAGGTTAGGTTCCCCTAAGTGGTCCATGAACCCCAATATTAGGAACCTGTAGACTAAATGCTCTTCTCATCTAGGGTGGGAGAAAAGATGATCCACCACTGCACAGGGTCTCCTTTCTTTAGGGTTGACAACCAGCCTGCATCTATGGGCCTTATGCTACCATCAGTGCTAGTATATATTTCCATGTATACTATATGGGTGGGGAAGGTGACAAAGAAAGGGGGTAGAACTGGAAGAGGCAGAGAGGCAATGGACTGGTCACCCTTCTCACCTTCAATAAGTTGGCTGTCAATCCATTCCAGAGCCCCAGTACCCCTTGGGCCTTCACTATCTGCCGGAAGCAGTCCACTGCTCCTGAGAAATGGACATCTACACCTCCATAGTAGGGAAGATAGGGGCTCTGAGCCTGGCAAGAAATAGAAGGTGGGATGAAATTATTTAAATGCCAGGAAATAAATGTCCTAGTCAAAGAAGCCAGGGTCTCTGGACTCTGGATGTATGCTCCTGGCCAAGATGATGACAAAGAATGGCTGCCACAGGGACTTGTTCCATAGACTTAAAATGAATATTAACATGGAATAAAACCATGATGCTCTGTTCATATGCTTATGGTTTATTGCACTTGGAAGGAAGCCAGCATTTGGGACAAAATTGATTTTATGCTTACATTCCCTCCCAGCCTATGCCCTCTGGAAATGATAACATTTTTAGGGGGGATGGGGTGTACTGGGGATTGAATTCAGAGGCACTCGGCCATTGAGCCACATTCCCAGCCCTATTTTGTGTTTCACTTAGAGACAGGGTCTTACTGAGTTGCTTAGTGCTCACTTTTGCTGAGGCTGGCTTTGAACTCAAGATCCTCCTGCCTCAGCCTCCCAAGCTGCTGGGATTGCAGGCATGGGCCACTGCACCGAGCTTGGACATGATAGCATTTTAGAGTTTATTTTTCCGGTTTTGAAGAACTTCTTTAATTTTCATTAATTCTTGGGCCTTCAAACTCTGGTTCAACCCTGGGTTCAATTTATAGCTCAGAGGAGACAAAATGTAACCATTTTGATAAAGGCAGATTCTCCTATAGACTCAAAGGTGCTAAACATAACTAAAATATGGAAGTAGATGTTAAAACAGAAAATGAAAATTATGTTAAACTCTTAAAATATCAATGCATCTGTAATGAAGACAGATCAGGGTAAACTGACACTTAAACCGTTTTAGTGCCTTCCTGAAACTTTGTCATAACTAACCTGTCTCCTGGGAAGCTATAAAGTGGGGGCTGCTTACTTATTTCCCTATATCACAGTTGTCACAAGGTGGGGAACAGAGTGATAGTGTGATTGTGGTGTTTTTGTAGCTCCTTGTTGCTGTTTGTAGACCCTTACTCCTTCATTCTCATGCCAAAGTGTTCATCTGGGGCTCATGTTTCTTAACTGCATTTGTTGTCCTGCTATCATCTACTGACCTCCTGGCTACTTTTCCACATTCACTGAAGACTGTATGACACCTGATGGCTCACCCTCACCTAGCCTCACCATCAACTTAGATAACTTTTTTTTTTAAAAAAAATTTAATTTGTTATATATGACAACAGAATGCATTACAATTCATATTACACATATAGAGCAATACACATATAGAGCAACCAGAAATACAATTTTTGTATTTCTGGTTGAACACAAAGTAGAGTCACATCCTTTGTGTCTTCATACATGTACTTAGGTAATGATGACTATCGCATTCCACCGTCTTTCCTACCCCTATACCCCTTGCCTTCCCCTCGCTCCCCTTTTCTCCTTTGCCCTATCTGGAGTTCATTTAATCCTCCCCCCAACACACAGCATATTATGGATTGCCATTCTTAAATCAGAGAAATCATTTGGCGTTGGTTTTTTTGGATTGGCTGACTTCATTTAGCATTATCTTCTCCAACGTCATCCATTTACCTGCAAATACCATGATTTTATTCTCTTTTATTGCCGAGTAATGTTCCATTGTGTATATATGCCACATTTTTTTTATCCATTCATCTATTGAAGGGCATCTAGGTTGGTTTCACAGTTTAGCTACTGTGAACTGTGCTGCTATAAACATTGATGTGACTGTGTCCCTATACTATGCTGTTTTTAAGTCCTTTGGATATAGGCCGAGGAGTGGGATAGCTGGATCAAGTGGTGGTTCCATTTCCAGTTTTCCAAGGATTCTCCATACTACTTTTCATATTGGCTGCACCAATTTGCAGTCCCACCAGCAATGTATAAGTGTGCCTTTTCCCCCCATATCCTCGCCAACACTTATTGTTGTTTGTATTCTTAATAGCTGCCATTCTGATTGGAATGAGATGAAATCTTGAAGAACTTTGTTTTGATTTGCATTTCTCCAATTGCTAGAGATGTTGAACACTTTTTCACATATTTGTTGATTGATTGTATATCTTCTTCTGAGAGGTGTCTGTTCAGTTCCTTGGCCCATTTATTGATTGAGTTATTAGGTTTTTTGGTGTTAAGATTTTTGAGTTCTTTATATATTCTAGAGATCGGTGCTCTATGTGATGTGTGTGTGGTAATAATTTGTTCCCAATTAGTCGGCTCTCTATTCACCTCATTGATTGTTTCTTTTCCTGACAAGAAGATTTTTAGTTTGAATCCATCCCATTTATTGATTCTTGATATTAATTCTTATGCTATAGGAGTCTTATTAAGGAAGTTGGGGCCTAATCCGACAGGATGGAGATTTGGGCCTACTTTCTCTTCTAAAAGACTCAGTGTCTCTGGTTTAATTCCTAGGACCTTGATCCATGTTGAGTTTTGTGCATGGTGAGAGATAGGGGTTTAATTTCATTTTGATGCATATGGATTTCTAATTTTCCCAGCACCATTTGTTGAAAGGCTATCTTTTCTCCAATGTACATTTTTGATACTTTTGTCAAATATAACTATAATTATGAAGGTTAGTCTCTGTGTCCTCTATTCTGTACAAATGTCTACATGTCTATTTTGGTGTCAACACCATGCTGTTTTTGTTACTATTGCTTTGTAGTATAGTTTAACTTCTGGTATAGTGATGCCACCTGCTTCACTCTTCTAGCTAAGGATTGCTTTAGCTATTCTGGGTCTCTTATTTTTCCAGATGAATTTCATGACTGTTTTTTTTTTCTATTTCTATGAGAAATGTCATTGGGATTTTGATTGGAATTGCATTAAATTTGTATAGTGCTATTGGTAGTATGATCATTTTGACAATATTAATTCTGCCTATCCAAGAACAAGGGAGATCTTTTCATCTTCTAAGGTCTTCTTTAATTTCTTTCTTTAGTGTTCTGTTGTTTTCATTGTAGAGGTCTTTCACCTCTTTCATTAAGTTGACTCCCAAGTATTTTACTTTATTTTATTTTAAAAATACTTATTTATTTATTTATTTTAGTTTTAGGTAGACACAATATCTTTATTTTACATTTATGTGGTGCTGAGAATCGAACGCAGTGCCTCACGCATGCTAGGCGAGTGCACTACCTGCATCAGCTATGGCTTTAAACACCATCTACAGGGACATGACTCCCAACTCTTTATTTTCAGCACTGATTTCTGCCCCTGAGCTCTAAAACCAAGCACTCAACTGCCTACTGGACCTCTCCACCTGGACAGCACTCAAAGCCTTAACACACCAAGAACTATTATTGGCTGTCTTCTTCCTGGGATCAATTTTATTCTTTCTTTTTCTTTCTTTCTGGTGGTGTTTAGAGATGGATCCCAGATCCTTGTGCATATTAAGCAAAGCAAGCACTTGGCATTGAGATACACCCCCACATCCTTTTGTAATTCTTATTTCAGTAAATAGCGTCACCATTCAACCAGCTGCCCTGAGGCAGAAACCTGAGAGTCCTTTATTTCATTCACTCTTACTGTCCTCTCCAGTCAATCATTAAATCCTACCATTTTTATCTTCTAAATCTAGTATTTTTCAGATCCATCTCTTCCTCTACATCCTCACACCTTCCTTAGTTCATGCTACCTACACCTCATGCACACATTACTATGATCCACTCTTAACACTGTAGCCAGAATGTTCTTCTATCATTTCAATTTGGATCACTGACTCCATCCCTGACTTTCTACCACCTAAAGGATGCAACTCAAGCTTCTTAGAATGACATTCAAAGTCCTTGAGGACAACTTTTCCAGTATTAAAAGCATTCTTCACCACAACCATACTAATTGTGTTCTTTAGCTCTTTTTTTTTGTGCACTCCCATTCTCTCCTCTGAAGGTTTTGTTATTACAATATTTATTGAAGGGCTGGGGGCACGGCTCAGAGGCAAAGCACTTGCATAGCTTGCAGGAGGCCCTAGGTTCCATCCCCAGCACAACAACAAAATAGGGCTGGGGATGTAGCTCAGTGGTCTAGTGCCCTGGAGTTCAATCCCTTGTATGCCATACCCAAAATGACACTGGTATTTTGATGGGAATTGTATTTATTCTGTAGATCACTTTTGGCCATATGGCCATTTAAGGATATTAATTCTGCCTATCTATGAACACAGGAGCTCTTTCCATCTTCTAGTGTTTTCTTCAAATTACTTTTTTGAACATTTTGCTTGTAGAGGTTTTTCACCTCCTAGGTATTTTATTTTTTTGAAGCTGTTGTGAATGGAATTATTTTCCTGATTTCTCAATGGGTTCATTATTGGTACATAGAAAAGTTATTGATTTTTTCCTTTAATTGGTTCTTTTTATTTACATATGAGTATTCATTTTGGTATAATTATAAAGTATGGAATATAATTTGTTCTAACTCAGTCCCCTGTATTTCCCTTTTCCCTCCTCTCCTTCCTCCCCTGTACCTGAGAAACTGATGTGACTCCATTTTTGAGAAACCAGCTTCTACCTCAAGGCCTATACTCACCCTGCTGAGTTGTTTGTCTGCAAATAACAGGAGATATCTGCAGCGCCAGGTGTCCCTGACTCAGTTAGGCTAGGTGAGGACCCATAGCAACCCCCTAGCAACCACCAATCAGCATGAGATGGAAAATACCTGGGATGTCAGATGATTCCCCAGTAGTTTATGGTGGTTGATAACATGTTGGGAAACTGCTAGGAGCCACAGCCAAGTAATTTGATGCATGGGCACTTTTGGTTGTAAGGTGACGCCAGCTAGCCATTGAGATGATATGATTATGTTAAGATTTACATTCATATGGATATTGGACTCCTGCTGTTCACCTTGGCCTGATACGGGACTCCTGGAGAGTTCCCATTGGTTGGGGAAGGACAGTAGGAGGGAATTCCGGGGGAGGTCCTGGTCCCCAGGTCCGGTAGAACCGACCGCGCGCGTGTGTGGACCGGCTTGCTTCCCGACGCGTACCTGCTTGAGTGGCTCGTGATTCTGTGCCCAGCCAGACTGCGGCAGGAAACCA